ATTGTTGATCACGTTGTTGATCGCATCTGTAATTAGGGGACGACTAGTAGGAGCAGTACTACCATGTAGATATTTATATGCTTACTTGACAATTACCTTGGTATAGAAAGGAGTACAGTTTAACACCATGACGATATTGCTTGGCAATTAAGGGATTTAGGTTTATTATTCAATGGAATGTAAGGAAATTTCTCTTGGATCTTATTCTCCTTTTGCAAAATAGGGCTCGGAGGATGGAGCATTATTAGTGTGTGGTAGTGGTACCACCTCCTATTAGAAGGCTAGGGTTAGCGTTGGGGCACATGCATTGAAAACGAACGGTGTTAGTAAATCCGGTGGCCTTGCTGTGGTACCAGTCACGTACCAGTCTGGCCTACATTTTTTATGGATCATGCACTTTGCTTCAAAACGTAGTGTCATTTAAGGTTGAGTTGAAAAAAGGCTGCTTTCCTTTCGTTCTCCCAAAAAGATAGTAGTAAGGAGTAATGCCACATCGGCACTCATTAAAGCTCGAGACTGTACCATTACTGAGAATTCAATCTGAAAGCAGAAATACTACGTGGATGGCGTAAACTTGACATGAAATACAATTCACTCCTAATTAAAGTGTATTAGTAGTATATATGCATTGGTCGATGCAGAAGCTGGGATATTAAATATATTTTTTTTTCTAAAAAAAATGTATTAGTAGTATATATGTATATGCCGTTTTGAAATTTAAATTTAATCTCGACATCAGAAAAGATATGTTAGGAGTGGCCAAAACGTACGTGGAGAAATTCTACTGGGCCCACATCACAGTGACTGTGCCACCAGGAACCGCGCTCCTCCGTCCCGCACTGCTAGGGCCAAGTGGCCAAGTGAACAGGAACAGTTATGTATGGGCTGCTGACACTCCTGGGGGAAGTTCAAATCCCCCACACTCGAAAGCACATGGAACGGAACGGAACGGAACGGAATGGCCGGCAATCATTCATCGTCCTCATCCACGGCCAACAGCACGTTGGACAGAGACACACACGAGGACGGGGTACGGGGGCGACCAGGGAAGCATCAATCCGTATCCACATAGGATACGATCAGTGCAGAAGAATCATCTCGTTTCTCGTCTAAGTACCAGTTGCCAGTTGCGGTGGCAGAGCACCAACGTAAACTCGTGGATCCATTCACTTCACTCCATGCCCCGATAATCGCCATTGTCACACCTCATTTACTGCACCCTCGGTGCCCTGGTTCCCAAGTTCAAATTGCTGGCCACGAATGCCTCTAGTACGCAGCTGCTCGCAACGCATGCCGTTGTTCGTGCGAAAATCCGACGCTGACAGGAAACAAAAGATTGGGTGAGCGACTGAGCGCCACCGCGGACGGCGACCGCATGTATTTTACGTGGCTGGAACCATTTTCGGCCAAAATACGTATTGTACCGCTGTTTTGCTGTCACTAAGAGCATCTCCGAGAGTTCCTCATATTTTGTTCCTTAAAATATGGTGTTTACCAACTCCCAAATTAGTATAGGAAGAAAAAAAAGTCATCTCCAAGAGTTTTCTGTATATTTATCCTAAAAGTTTTTTTTTGCACTTTTTTTTCCCACAACTCGATCTCATGTTTTGCATCAGGAACTCTGAATTTGTTTCTGTACGCGTTTAAGCCCTTCCACTATATCTTTCTCTTTTGCGCTTTTCTCACCTGAAACACTGTCTTTCCTCCTTTTCTTTTCCCATTCCTTCTTCTTCTCAGGCTCGCAACACACAACGCGCCGACAAGAGCGAGCGGCCGATCCCGGTCGGAAGGGCCACGCCGGTGCGCAAGGGGTGGCGCAGAGGCATGCCAGCGACGGCTATGCCTGCTCCGTCGTGGCCTCCAGGCGGCGGCTACCGAAACCCTAGCAACCGGAAACCCTAGTCGACGTGGAGAGGACGAGTACATCAATGGTGGCGTCGAAGATCGTCTCCCCTGGACGGAACCTGGGCTATGGCGTGAAGGAGATGTCGCGCGGGAAGGACTGCGGCGCGTGGGAAGGACTCCGGATGCGCGCTCCCAGGCCGCGTGTGTATTTGCGCGCAGGTGACGGTGGTTTGCCAAGTTCGGAAAGATGGGGAAGCGATATGGAGAACTCTTGGAGATGAATTTTTCTTCTTTTTTCAAAATAAAAATAGATGGGAAAATAATATAGGGCACTCTTGGATATGATCTAAACTACTACTGAGAAGTAGTCGTGCATGACATTTGGGGAAAAAAACATGATAGGAGCAGTCGTGTTTGTGAAGAAAAGAAACACGACTCCATGATGGAGTAGTAGAGTGATGGTAGCGGTCGATCGGCACTAGTTTCTCACCAAGAAAGCGCTGAAAGAGATGTGCTTCGCAAAACCCGGCGCGCAAGCACTCGCAGACGCAAACCGCAGGCCAATCATCTGAAAATTGTGCGACTGCCCCCTGCTGCGCTGTGACGCTGCACTGCACGGTCTGCAGTGCAAGGGGGGCAAGATGGATTAGGAAGCGGTCCACTTAATTTATGCCTAACTGCACCATTACCTGGACGCAAGTGCAGGTGTGCATGCAACCTGCAGAGTGCGTGCGTGCGCATGGTATCGTCCTCGCCCGTCCTCGTACTCAAAACACCTTATCGCCTGCCTGGGGAAAAGCCCGGGAGCAGTTGGACCGAACCCTCTCCTGAGTCCTGCGATTCCCTTTGGCGACGCTGAAGCCGGCAAAGCTGCTGCGAGTCCGCGACTCACGCACGCATGCTCACTCCATCGCTCGTCGTCAGCCGGAGCCCAACCGAACTGAGAATCTCCCACTCCACCCGCGTCATCTGGGCAAATCGCCGCGACTTGTTTAATGCCGAGGACCATGCTTTTGCCGGGGGGTCCTGCTCCTGCCTGCCGGTGCCCGGTGGGGCGGCAGAGCCGAGTCTGCAGACGATACTTCTCCAGGTTCCGCGCCGCGGCGCTCCTCCAGCTCCAGGCCAGCGCGGCCGGTCGCCTCCAGAACGTGCGGTGCGGCAGTCGGCAGATCCCTCCCTCTGCGTGTCACCTCCGCCGTCGTAGTTAGCACAACTAACGAGCGTGCCGGCGTGCGTGTCTGTCATGTGTTATTATGGATTTATGGCATTCAATTTTGGCAAAACTCACGCCGTGTTTAGTTGAAGTCACAACTCACGAAAAAATTCGTGCCGGCGTGCGTGTCTGTCATGTGTTATTATGGATTTATGGCATTCAATTTTGGCAAAACTCAGGTGCATGCAAGTGTGAACTGTGAAGGCCACCCAATTGTTGCTAATAAAGACGCCGCCAGCTCGACGCCCACGTATGCAGGTATACAGTACGAACGTGCTACAGACAGAGTATCCCACAGCACCGTACGAGGCGACAAGCTATCTGTCACCACCAGGTGCCATATATCGTTCAGACGCGCTGTCAGATTATACGGCGCCATAAACCCCCCCGCGGCCGTGCCGCTGACGACCTCCGGCTCCTACCCTTCACCCGTCCGTTCGCCGACGGCCAAACGGCGTCCGTACGGTACGTGCGGACGCGACGGCGGATCCTTCTAGTCGGATCAACAGGCCACAGACCACAGGGAGAAAGAAATAGGCTCGCCGCCGGCCTGCCACGATGGACGGAGGGATGATTAAGTGGCTGTTAGCGTCGGACAGGGACGACGGAGCGCCGAGCACGAGCACTGGGTGGGGGAGCCGTTGTTGGTCTAGCCCGCACCGCTAGACTGACTTTTTGGCAGTGGACAGTGGATAAGGGGGGTTCGTTCGGCTCGAGTCACGCTCCACTGATTGTGCTTGAACACTCGGATTTTGACCTGGCGTAATTGCGTAGCTGACGGCTTGCTTCACTTGGGTGGGGCCACACGGAGCATGGCGTTGATGGAACGGAACGGGTCTGGTTGGAGATGGAAGTGGTGCCAGTCGCGTCTGACTTCACGGGGATGGGGATGAAGCACGGTGACTGGCACTGTAGCAGCAACAGCACTAGTGACTGGCAAGCTCCAGGGAGTGCTGCAGGCCACCTAAAGCGGCGAGATGCTGAGCAGGTGAGCGACTTCATGCCGAATTGCCGATACCGATACTACTGCTATATACTGTTACTTGAAGAAGTTCGCAATTTTCAGTCGCCGGCCTGCGCCCGGCATATGCCGTCTGCAACACAGGAACAGGCTGAGACTTTGAGTCTTGACTTCGCAGAGGATTTTTATTTTTAATCTCGTGCTCGTGCTGGGCCCAACCGGCTAACCGTCCCCACTACGACTCTACCTCGACTTGTGCTGTCAACCGAATAACTGATGCCGTGACGTGTCCATGTGTTCCTCACCGCGATCACAGGAGCGACTGGCGTGTTTTTGGCTTTGTTCCCCGTGCGGACCCGAGGAAACGTGGCCGTCCTCGTCGCCGGTGACCTGGTCCGCTCGGGCCGGCAGGCGTGCAACGGCCAACGGCGGCAGCGCACATGCGGGCTGCGAGCGGAGACTGCGGCCGGGCCGCGTGAGAGCTGAGACCGACCGGAACCTACCCACTTTTTAGTTTTTACTCCCCCGCCCGCCCCGGTCGGCCGCCCGGCCACGCGAGCCGTCGCGATAGTACCCGAGATTTTTTGAGCGCACTGCCACTGCCAGCCGCCGGCCGCCGGCCGCCGAGTCCGGTGCGCCGAACCCGGCGGTTTTCATCCTGCCGCACGTGCCGCGGTGTTATGGCGGAGGTTCCGTCACGTAACGTAACTTTCTACTTTTTTTTTAGCAGAACGTAACTTTCTACAAATCCACCGAAGTTGGTGGGCCAGGATTTGCTTGGGGCTAATGGGCTTGTCTTACACAACTGACGCGCTTTTCTCTCCTTGTGGCGGCCCAAACTATTGCCGTCACGAACTCGCGCTGAAACCACCCAGTCCCCCCACGATTCAGAAATCAGAAGCGGCGACCCGCCCGCCTTGTCTTATCCATTGGACCAACGGCAACGGCAGCCTGCCCTCCGCGCCAGCAGGCAAGGCAGCCATGGCTCCGGCCGCGCCCACGTCCGCGTCGCCGCTGTCCCGCCTCCTCCTCCTCAGCCTACCGAAGCCCGGCTCGGCGAGGCACTCCCGCTCCTCCTCTCCTCCGCAGCCTTGCCCGGAAGCCGCCGCCGCCAGGAGCCCCGGCGCGGGCCTCGTCCTCCGGCGGCGCGAGGCTGCGGCCGCCGTGCTGTCGACCGCCGTCCTCTCCCGCTTCGTGCTCCCCGCTGCGGCAGGAGCTGCGGACGGTGGGGAGTGCCCGCTGGAGGTGGCGCCGTCCGGGCTCGCCTTCTGCGACCGCGTCGTCGGCACCGGCGCCGCCGCCCAGGAGGGACAGCTCATCAAGGTCAGCACCGTTCGCCGTCCTTGATGTGGTCGAGGTGCCCTGCTCATCTGCGTCGTTGGGTGTCGGTGCATGCAGGCGCATTACACGGGGAGGCTGGAGGACGGCACGGTGTTCGACAGCAGCTACAAGCGCGGGAAGCCGCTCACCTTCCGCGTCGGCGTCGGAGAGGTACCGCGCCAACTAAACGATCGAATCCGATGACCCTGCGTATACTGTCTGCCACGCACTCACGCTAGTTCGTCAGAATCGAATCTTCACCTGCAGGATTAGCCTGAACTAAAACTAACTCTGCAGATGATCGCAGTGTCATGTTAGAAGTATTTCTTTCGTTTTTGGTTCAGGTGATCAAAGGATGGGATCAGGGTATCGTTGGCGGCGAAGGGATTCCGCCAATGCTTGCTGGTACGTCAAACACTCAACACTGAACCCAGCAACATCTTACCTTTTGACTTTTGCTGAATCGAACATACTGCTGAATTCAGTTCCATTCGTGGATACGTTTCTCCAGGGGGTAAGCGGACGCTGAAGCTGCCACCGGCGCTGGCCTACGGCGAGAAGGGGGCCGGGTGCAGAGGGTGGGAGCCCACCTCCTGCGTCATCCCGCCAAACTCCACGCTCCTCTTCGACGTCGAGTACGTCGGCAGAGCCTCCGGCTGAGGTCTCCCGAAACTCTGAATGCACAAGGTCAAGATTCAGAGTGATCCATGCGGAGCTTTGTGGACACGATGGTAGTCGTAGCTGCCCGGGCACCGAGGGGTTATTTTCTTCTCGTGTGATTGCTGCCCCTGTGTCAGTGGCGAAGGTAGAGCAGAATCGAGGGGGTGCGCTACTTTCTACAACTTAACCACAAGTACGGATATGCATATGATTTCATATGGTGTTCTTCTAAACAAAGCATGTATTTAGTTTGAATTTAACACGATGCATGAAAATGGTGTAGTGAGAGTTTACAAAAAAAGAAATGCACTTAATAATATTTTGTTACGATAATGGAGTGAAATAATAGTTCAACCTAGCAAAAGGAGAACAAATACTTTTAGACCCAGTTTGGATGTTGTAGTCTATTAAAAAAATAAATAAGTATTGTTCAGCCAGTTCTGCCCGCTAGTGCTCAGCTTTCATGTTGTTCAGCCTGTCACCTTGCAGTTATTGAGCTTGGGGTGCATGTACAAGAGCCGAGGGGGTGCATTGCCTAAAATTTAGGATAGTTAGACGGTCTCCAACAGTGTTGGCAAACCGTGACCCATCCCCAAAATAGGTAATGCACAGTACTTTTACGGTAAAAAACCACCCTCCAACAGACTACCCAAACACGGAAGGCATTTTGCGTCGGAGGCAACATGGTAGACAAACTTAAGCAAACTTGCGCGTCCCTTTGCCTCTCTCAAAGCAGCTCGCGAGCTCCTCCCCTCCAACCACAAAGCATCCGACGCGTCTCCCACCCTCCAACAGTCCCCAAACACGGAAGGCATTTTATGCGCGGAGGCAACATGGTAAGCAAACTTGCGTCCTCTCTTCGTCACTTTGCGTCTCCTCTCCGTCCCTTTGCCTCGGCATCCGAAGAAGACGCGAGCTCCTCCTCCACTCCTCCTCCCTCCTCCTCCTCCTCCTCCTCCTCCCAGTGCGCAACCACGGCGAGATCCGACGGCGGCGAGCTCCCTCCCCTCTCCCAGCGCGAGATCCGGCGGCGGCGGGCTCCCTCCCCTCTCCTACGGCGAGATCCGGTGGCTGCGGGCTCCCTCCCCCTCCCACGGCGAGATCCGGCAGCGGCGGGCTCCCTCCCCTCCCACGGCGAGATCCAGCGACGGCGGGCACCCTCCCCCTCCCACGGCGAGATCCAACGACGACGACCCTCTGGACTTTTGCGTCCGTTGTTGGAAACGTGAAGTTTTTGGTATGCGACCTTTTCGTTGTGCACGACCTAAACCAACGAATGCGTCCCGTATTTGAGTTCGGGCCGTTGGCGACAGTCTTAGCTCTGGATTTTTCATCTGTTGTGGGTGCATGTGCACCCACTACCATATAGGTAGCTTCGCCCCTGCCCTTTGTTAAGAGAGCTATCACTGCCGGAATCAGCAGGTAAGCCGAGTGCAAGAGGGTTTGCCGAGTGCAATCCATCGGACACTCGGCAAACAAGCTCTATGCCGAGTGCTGCAAAAAAAAAACACTCGGCAAAATAATTGCACTCGGCAAACGAGGCAAAAAACACTCGGCAAAGTTTGACACTCGGCAAAACTAGGCACTCGACAAAGAAATATGTTTGCCGAGTGTAATTGTCTGGTACTCGGCAAATAAATATGTTTGCCAAGTGTAATTATTTGGCACTCGGCAAATAATTTTATTTTTTTTCTCTTCTGACCTTGAAACACGTTGTGGAAAAGAAGAAAAAGAAGGAAAATAAAAAAAGGTTTGCCGAGTGCCCTCGATCTGGCACTCGGTTGCCGAGTGTCTCGATCTGGCACTCAGCAAACTCACGACCTTATAAACTCACCCGGCAGCCCCCTTCCCTCCCATGGGCCTCCTCTCCCTCTCCTCTCCGCCCGCCCCTCCCTCCTCCTCTCCCAGTCTCCCGCCCCCCCCTCCTCTCTCGGCCCCCCCTCCCATCCCTTCTCCTCCGCCCACCCCCTCCTCTCTCCCGGGCGCCCTCCCTCCCATCCCTCTCCTGGTGCCCCTCTCTCCCTCTCCATGCCGCCCCCCCCTCTCCACGGCGGCAGGCGGCGTGACGGCTGGCGGTGGATCAGCCAAAGCGTGGGGGGGTGGATCTGCAGTGGCGAAGGAGAGATGCGCGGCGGCGCTTCATGGCTGAGCGGCGCGCTTCCTCCTCATCGCGACACGCATGTCGGAGTCGACATCGACCAGGAGCAGGCTTGCCTCGAACCCTATGGCGAGCGCACGCGTCTGCTCCAGGACGGAGCCATCGCCACCACTAGGAAGCCAACCTGCCTCGACGTCAGCAGCCGCCGTCGTGCCTGGAGATCCGTCACCGCACCATCATCTCGTCCCTATTCTCTTCTTTGGGTCCGGAAGCCACCGCTCCTCCTGGACCTGCAGAAGCCGCCGCCGCAAGCTGCTGCTCCCTCCCCCTCTACGTCGTACACGGACAGGCAACGAGCTGGCCACTACCACGGTGGGTAAGCTACGAGTGGGCCAGGACCACGCCCTGCCGGCTGGCTCCTCGCCTCGGCCGCAGGCAGCGGGCATGGTGGTGGCGGCGGCGGGAGGGGGGGGTGCCGCGGGCGGGCGGCGGTGAGTTTTTTTTATATTTTTCAAAATGTCTTTGCCGAGTGTCGGTTTTAGCACTCAGCAAAGTCTTTGTCGAGTGCCCGATAAAAAACACTCGACAAAGAAATGTTTGTCAACTCTGTGTATGCCGAGTGTAACACTCGGCAAAGGCTTTGCCAAGTGTTTTTTGGGCTTCGCCGTGTGCCGTGGACACACGGCAAACCTGGGCATTCCAGTAGTGTATATAGATTGCCACAAACACGAGTTTGTGCGAACACAAGGTTGATATGAGTCCTTGTAGTTCATTTTGTGATGAGTGATTGTCAACGTGATCCACGACCTAGGTTGAGTTTGCGACTAACCATGGCGTGAGTGCGTTGTGCAACATGTCTCTTGGCTTGCGATGTGCAGGTGTGGAGCTCAGAGGTGGTGGTCGATGGCGAGGTGAAGGTCAAGTAGGGACGTGCTGTGCCGATGGGCCAGGAGCGGTGAAGGACGGATGTGAGGCTTGGACTGAGGGACCAGGAGGCCAGGTGACCAGCCGCGGTGGCTAACATCTGGGACATCGACAAGCGCAAGTGTACATGGGAGTGACCGTGTTGACCGAGTCAAGACGGCGAATGTGCGAGTCGAGCGGGGCTCAGGAGGACTTGGCGGCTGGCCGGTCGAGGATGGTGGTGACACATGTCGAGTGACAGGGGATGTGTATGGAGTACGCTACTCAAGGGCGGTTTGGTGGTTTGGGCCTCAAAACCATCGGTCGCCTGTTTCATGGGTTTGGGTCTCAAAACTCGGGCGAAGGTTCCGAGGAGGAACAGATGGCACGTAATGACATCGAGGAGTTCGCGTCGATGCGAAGCTATCTCATGAAGGGCGCGGTGGTCGTCGAATGAAGATTACCTCGGGTTGGACCATAGTGCCCTCAGGTTAAGTGGTTTGACTCAAAAATATCTAAGGGCAAAACCGGGATTGTGTAATAGCCCTGTTAAATAGGACGAGGGAGCTCCCATCTCCCTTACCTATTTCATTTTGCTTCATCCTTCTCTAGGTTTTCCACTCCCCTTAGGTTTTCTTGTGAGAGAGGTCCACAAATTGGAGAATTTGTGTAAGAACCAAAGATTGCAGCGGGAATGGAGGCCCTAACCTCCTTGTGTCCTCCAGGATTCGATTTGTGAGTTGTTCTTGTGAATCGCGTTTGTGTTCTTCGCGTTCTTCCTTTCCCCCTTCTTTTGTGTGGTTTGATTCATCATTTTGAGACCGTTTTGATTTGTTTCTTTTGCATTGAGATGAACTAGGACATGAGTTGAGTCTTTCCACCGAGGGATTTCATCTAATTCCTCACCAGTTCATAGATCGGGGCGAATCAAGCTCTAGTGCTAGAAAATGGGTGTTTTTCATGTTTGTCCAATTTCCTATTGATTGGCTTCAAATTGGGCGATGATCTCCTAGTGGTAGCTCACCTATTGCCTTGTGACCATGTGGTTAAAATTTGGTGGCAATTGGTTTTGATTTGGCCACAAATCAGGATTTTCCTTGCTTCGGGCATTTTTTGGGCAACTATGTTCGTGCTGATTTCACGACTCGCGGATAGTCCGCCCCTGACCCTCGGATAGTCCACCATTAGTGTTCACGTCATGAGCAGAAGGTCTTCTTTTGGTCTTGTTTTGCTGCTCTGAGCGTTGGACAGTCTGGGCCTACCCGCGGACAGTCCGGGGCTATTGCTGAAGCATGTCCAGAACTGTTTCTGCAAGTTCATTTTTTGGTGTTTGACTTGCGGATAGTCCGGGATTCAACCGTGGATAGATCATCGTTCTTCTTTCTGCCCAGGTCAGAACTGTTTCTCATCGTTTAGTTTTTGGGAGTTGAATGCCGTATAGTCTGGCCCTCAACCCCGGACAGTCTAGGACCTGACCCGCGGACAGTCCAGACTCCCTACGGCAGATGGCTCCCGGGAGGGGTGATGGCTCCCCCTGCTGGAGTCAGAGCTAGAGGATGACCTCGGCTCCTCTGTGAGGAGGTTGTGGAGAGTTTTCGTGACGTGTTCGATCACCCCCACGAACTCGTTGTTCGTGGGCGGCGGGACCATGCGTCGTGCCACAAGGTGGCTAGCGGTCGCCGCAGCGTTGCGGAGACCGAATGGAAACGCTGTCGGGGTGCTCCGTATGTGGTGTTCTAGAGGGAGGGATCCTCCTTCAGAAAACCATGCCTTGTCGTTGGCGTCGGAGAGGGTGAGGCGGCGCTGGTCGTCCCTAGACTATCGGGGTCCAAGGGAGGCACCGAGCTGGCGCTCAAACCTCTCGTTGTTGAGGCCAATGGAGGGGAGAGATTGGATGGTGGCGTGAGCCAGCGTCAACTCTCCTCCCACCATGATGATGAAGTCTAGGCTTTCGAAGCGCACGTGTGCACCTAGGACCCAGCTGATGCCGTGGTTAGCC